CCCAGCATCCCTGCCTGCATTCTCTTAATATGAACCATGTTTTTCAGTGCAGTGTCAAACTGTTGTCTGGTGAAAAAAACTGAAATTCCCTCAACAGGCTGAAGTTAAGAGTTTTTACAGTTAAACAATGATCTTCTACCATCCCCAGTCTCCACATTTTTACACTTATTTTTAATGCCACTTTTCCCTCTCTCCTACTCATCTAATGGTTGCTGATGTCTCTCCTTTCATTACATCTTTTGCCACAAGCAGCTGAATAGGAAGTAAAACAGTGGGTTTTTTTTATTCCCCACTCTACAACGCTAATGATTTTCTGTCATGAATCCTTGCTTCAAGAGTCAGTACCCAACACAACGGAACTGTGTCTCTCCCAACTTCCCCCTGCTCCACCTCCTGCCTCGGGTTTGCCTGTCACTGCATTCTTACCCACTTGAGTCCTCCTTCCATGGTATGGCACAGATCTAAATGCTCTGAACACTTTTCTCCAAAGCCTGTCAGCAGATACAGCAAAAACATGCGCTGCTTGCAGGGGTTTCCCACCACTCTGTTGCCCACATGGAGGTCTGAAGCTGGAAGCAAGGCTCTGTGCCTGGCCAGCCCTGATCACTCTGCCTGCACTCAATACAATGACATCACTCAGCTGCCTTTTTTTTTTTTTTTTTTTTCCTGTTTATAACTTGGCATAAATATCTCTGGCTAAGAATTTTGAAAGAATTTAGGAAATAAAGCAATGTTAAGTAAAAATAAGGCCATTACCTTGCTTTCAAAGATTAGCATTAGGACAGTCTCAACTCTTAAGAGCACTTCAGAAATATTCTGGAGTTCTGCCTTGAACACAAGATGGTCCATATATATTTTTGCAGAGAACATTATAAAGACTCAGGGATTTCCAAAAGAAAGAAATAGAGTTGGTTTTGTTTGTTTTTTTTCTGTCAGAATCAGAACACATTCTTCAAATCCTACTCAAAGTGAAACTCGGCACATGCTTCAGTTATGGAAAGAACCTACTTCTCAGAGACTCAAGATGACAGAACAGTAATAGCTCCTTTGCTGCTTACACTGAAGTCACTAAACATGCTTCATCAAAGGCAAAACAATTTTATTTAACGGAATTTAGAACAGATCACTCCAGAACAGCAATGACATCACTAGAAGCCACATCTGCACCGGAAGAGGATCTTAACTATAGCAGAGCAATTAGCCTTTTATGATCACTTTGATGCCAAAATCCAAGGAGCAACAGGTCTCATCAGAAACTTATTTACATAGCTCACACCAGGCTAGGCAGGTGATAGCCTGCTCCACCACCTGCCCATTCTGCAATCTCTTGAAAACATTCCATGATCAGGGCAATACATATTTATAGAGTATTTACACAACCTATTTAAGTCAGGGTATGATTGCACAACCATTCATAATAGCTCAACAGGAGACATCATCAGCTATTGTTCAGATTCACACTAACACAAAGATTATTTTTAAGACATAAAAACAAAAGCCACTTAGGTTTAAGAAACCTACAAGAACAGATTTAATCTATTTTAAGGTTCTCAACCCCCACTCACATAAAACACTGTGACAGCAGCAGTTACTAGAATTGGTAAATTCTAATTCAAATTTGTCTATGAACAGCAAATTTAACTTAAATTCTTTGTTCCCTTGTGGTGTTTGCATGGAATTGGAGCGAAGGGACTTGAACTGCCATGGACAAGAGAAGTTCAAGAATCAAGACATGTCTCTCTTTCCTTTCAAATCCCACCAGTGAATTGCACACTCCATCTCAATTCCACTATTATATTGCATACTCCAACTTCAGCTGAGAACTTCAACGTAACAAAAACCTCATCACACGAGTATTAACATAGACCTTCAAAATTAAACAGGAAGTATACAGAGGGAATGTTTGCTAGATTGCTCAAATTGGAATAGAGAAGGGAGTGGTTTTTAAATTCTTCTCATTAACCCATGCACATCTTTTCTTTAAGTCTTCCTTGATTGCAAATAATTTTTTTTTAAGTTGATGCACTAGTAAATAAAGAGTGGAAATAATCATATGGTAAAATCATACGGTAAAAGCACTACATAGGTTACTAGCTTTGGTACAGAACATTAAAGCCCTCTATACCTCAGCTTTCTCACATATGAAATGAAGACAATTATGTCAGAAGCTCTTTATTATTCTTGGTTTTAATAAAAAAAGGGGGGGGAAGGGCTAAATGCATCTGTTTGCAATACCACAGTGGAACAGTCTACCACGCACAGACGCTTCAGACCCACGAGGAGGCCGCCGGATGGGTGCTGGACGGAAAAGCAGCACAGGAACAAGAAATCATACGCACTCAATTAAAAACACTGAAGCACACATCTTACCAGCTGGAATTCCCGGCGCCTGTCATAGGCGTGCTGGATGCCACTGTCTGCCCAGAGAGCCCTGATGGCTGGCAGGTACTGCAGGAACACAGCCGTCTCCACCATGCCTTGCACCACTGTGACTGAGCGAGTGTCAAACGCCATCATTGTGTCCCCGTTGCTCTGGTTTGCAGGATCTCCCCAAGGGATATGAAGTTTCTCTCTGGCATCTACGAGGACTCTCACTCCTGTAACAACATGAAAGAGGACTGCAATTAGAGATTCAGCATCTCCTGTTTCACGAGTCTAAAAGCCTGAGAAGATTCAAACAAACAATGCGCTCACTCTGAATGGTTACTGGGACAACCCACCCGGTAGGAAAGCAGCAAGTTTCTGAAAAATTGACTCAAAGTACTACATCTTTAGGTCATATCAAAGCTCAGATATCCACTATCTGGAAAACATGGCCACGATCAACAGTATAATATCCAACTTCTGAAAAAGAGTTATTTTTTGTTACTAAATCCACAATCTGTGCTACCAAGCAAACTCTTTGACAGATATTTACACTGCCCTCTGATCTTCAGAGTCATTCTACAGGTGTTAGGTTTACCTGGCATGAATACAAGACAAATGAATGATGTTTAAAAGCTTATTTCAGAATAGGTTAAACCATCTGATGGCTTATTTTAAGGTTCCATAGTCTTTGTCTTTTTATGAACTTGGTATCTAGTTATACCTATTTATATATACAGTTGTAGAGAGTTAACTCTGTCTGCCTTTAATGTTTTCAGAGATATGAAGACAACACTCACAAAAATCACAGCACTTTTTAAAAAGTATGTTTTTACTGTTTCAGTGCAGGAAGAGTTGTATCACCTAAAGATTTTGCTGCACTTCTTGTTGTTTTGGTAAATATTCTCTAGGATAAGTTGAGTGGTTTTAAACTTCCCTTACACCAGACCTCAGGAAAAGAAATCATGATCATACTGCTGAGGGAAAAGAATTCTAGTACTAGATTTACTGATGAAAAAATAAAAATAATTTAATAAATCCAGTAAGAATAAGCAATTGTAAAGGCATGGAGAGAGGTATAAGAATTAAGATGTAGCAACACATCACTGTATAATAATACACTGTTATTGTTACATGCCAAAGTATATATTTTCAGGCTTTATTCTCTTTCTGTAATTTTTTCATCTGTCAAAATAAATGACTGCAGGAAAGCAGCCTCCAAGAAAGATCTGCAGTTCCTACATGCATGCTTTCTCAAAGTAGGAAGTACTTTATTCATAAACTATAATCTGGTCCACATCCACACTCGTGATTTCTAGTGCCTTGCTATTTATAGTTTTTTTTCCAGACTTGATTTGTTAACAGTTCTGTATAACAAACTTTTCTTAAAGAACCACTGGACCCCAGCCCCTTCAAGAGACCCTGAGGTCTGGCAATACTTTTGCTGTTTTAAGAAACTCAGTGAAGACTTTGTCCAACTCTTACACAGCACAAACCAAAAACGTGACGAGTGGTTTAGATAAGAGAATCAGCGAGGATGACCGATGGAGTGAGGATGACAGCAGTGAAACCGAGCCTACTCCCAAACCATGTGTGGAGGTTTTTGGCAACGCATCTATGAGAAGCGGCTCTGGGTGAGGGTTTCTGTTAATTGATGTGTCAGCCCAGTTTCCAACACGCTGGCAACGTTTCTCCCACTGCAGGGGAACGCGAAAAGCGCTTCCTCCTCGGGCACAGGCCCCGCCTCATCCTCAAGGACTTTCAGGTGCATCTTCTACGCTCCCCCCCCCCCCCCACCCATCACCGCTCGTTCCTGCCGTCGCGTTACCAGGAAATGGCAAAGCTCGGCACCTCACGGGCTCA